ATCGTTATTGGGTTACAGACAGAGGCATACACGCACACTCACAAGTACACACAACATTGCGTTTTTTGCAACTGTTACAACACACAAAACGCATTAATTCCGAGAGAAATCGCAAATACTAATTTACGAAATAAGGTTAGCTGGCAATTATCATCCAGCTTTTATTCAAAACTGAATAAGTGGTTACCTCTCCATCGGTTGCGACTAATGGACGTGCCATTAACCGTAATGGAACCACCGGCGTAAGAAACATTGATACCATCACCCCAGTTACCATCTATTCTTGAAGCATTGATCCAGATATCCGCCGCGCCATCTTTCACTACCAATCCTCCTTGTCCTTCATTGTTCACTACTGTCACATTCGTCAGCACTGTCCGATCTCGAACATCTTGTGCCCAAATACCGTTTCCGGTATTATTTGCTACTACTGTATTGGTGACATTCAACCCGTAGAATGCTTTTTCTGCAAATTTTAACTCTATTCACACCGCACTCACCAAATTCGCTGGGATTTTCACTAAAAAGATGATGATTTCACAAGCTTGTGCCATACATCAAAGTATCCCAGGCTATCCTACGCGCGCCATCACTTGAACAGGAAAATGCTAATATACACTGTATTTGCGCTTTGATTCATACGGGTAAAAGTCTTCGACTTACTAGAATCTACTCCAGAGTTAAAAATCACACTGCATTTTTATCCTGAATAAATAGCAGCGCGGACACGGCACAATCACACGTTTTGCACAATTTCGTCCAGTGGACGTTTGTCTGCTAAGAATTTTCACTACCTTACACTTTGATTTGTGAAAAAATAGTCGATATGCTGTTTGGTCACTAAGCTACGAAATTTCACATTAAGAGTTTCAAGTGCCGGTACATGAAATCCAAATGTATGTAAAAGCTGAATTTGAAACTTTTTGCAATGAACATCGCTCCAAAATTTCAACCTCCTAGTTCTCTGGGCTTCCGAATAACTTTCGCGCCAAAACTTTCACATGGCCGCACGTGAGACCCGTCAAACTTGGGAACTAAATTTGAGTTCGTTAGATTCTTATATAGGCAGAGAATATCTTCTGAATTGTCCAGTCTCCTAGCTCTTCTGGCTCCCGAGATAATAATTT